CGAGCAACACGCTTACGCTTCTTACGTCCAGGCTGATCAAACCATGTCCTTACATAGTTCTGCCACTGCTTGTGGAAGTGGTTATTATGTATCATGTTGTTGTGTTTGGGAGCCATGGTGGTATGGCTGTGGCTTTAAACCTACAGGTGACAATAGCAGAGAATGAAGAATCACTATGCCATAGATAATTATATACAGATTAGGCAAAAACTTAGGGGACTTCTTATAGTATTTCACACTACTTGGAAAGTTTAGAGAAAACTCAGTCAAGAAGTTAGAGCTGCACTTGATTGTACCTCAATCACTTATTGATTCTTTTGAGCTCTCTAATTTATCCACTTGCATCATAATTTGATGACAACTTAAGGATGCACACTAATAAGCATGAATCAATGATATTTTACATTGTTTGGTTAGAATGTATGCTACACAACACAACTTTTGACACAACATTATGGCAATGGAGGCAAGTTTTACATGCAACAGTTTCACTGCGATTCTATCAGTTAGGGCAACTTTAAATCATACACCATATAGGTTTTGATCAGGAAGTGTAAAGCACATAAGAATAATCATGACAAGAATAGTCACATTTTACTCATGACTGCGATTATTCAAAATTCGCTGGTCATCAAGTATATTAGAACTCCATAGTTCAAGATGTTGGTGAAAGTCAAATTACCATTGCCAGCCAGCAAACAAGAGTTGTATTTAGGCATAAATAAGATTTTCAACTTTATATCCCATTCGAGTGACTGCAGAATATTGCAGAATACTCAACAATCACAGTCCACTTCATTTACTTATAAAGTAAAATGAGATGTGGAGATACAAGTTATTAACCACTCTCATTCAATGAGATGTGAATAAGTAGTAGGATATAAATTCTGCAGTTCACCTATACCAGCAATTCCAAGGCTCAGTCTCTAGCAGACTCTAGGAAGCCTGACAGTGTTGTCAAACTTATTACTTTCTAGTTCTAATACGTACAGGTTATTGACCAAGTGTGAGGTCAAGATGGCTGGATATTGACCAAGTTCTTTTTTTGTGTGTTTATGGGCCGAGACAGAGTGGAGGTCCATAAAAACGCAAAAAAAGAACGAGGCCAATATCCAGCCATCTTGATCGAACAAGCTTGGTCAATAAAGGATTTATTATATGGCTTTCGGGGAAATTTTTCTTGCAGGACAGGGCGGGTAGTCTCGAGCGGGCAAGATAGCTCCATCTTGCCCGCTCGGGTAGCCAACCACAGCGTAGGATTTGATTTATCTTGCCCGCTCACGGAGCTGGCCATATAATAAAATACGACAATACTTACTTATCACATAAAAAATTTCCATTAACATTCTGGCCGTACTTCG